CAACTCCGGGAGTTGAAGTCCACACATCTTGAAGTTGCCAAGGTGGAGAAACAGTGGTGTAGGCACACAGAAGCACTACTTTGGTGGCAGCCCTACACTGAGTCCAAACAAGCCGAAGTCTGAGAAGAGGCTGAGGAAGTGGAGAAAAATCACTGCCTTTGTCCCACATAAGCTGGCTCTCATTGAAGTAAACAGGAAACCCAGAGGACTAGCACAGAATAAGGGAGCCAAGGCAGCAGGGACAGAAAAGCAATCCTTGCCAGAAATTAGAGGGATGGGAGAAGCAGTGGCTGCTGGGGAAGGAAGTCTGCTTGTTTCTCTAGGAGGCTGATGAAAACAGAGGAGAATTTGGCTACCTGAACCCAGATTCAGAGGATAACAGTCATCAGCTCTAAGTCTTCTTAAATTTCATATGGCCATATCAGGAAAAACGTTCCTGAATTAGGGCAAAAGATTTTGTAAATGTCGGAAGGACTCCTCCCCGCAACCCCTCTCCCCCCCAAAAGTGAAGGGACATTTTGCTTAACTAATTTCAGTTGGATGGTTAATCAAAGAAAGTTAATAAACATTTAAATCACTTTCTTCCCTAACTACTGTCCCAAAGTAATGAAATCCTGTCCAAAGGCAGCATTTGGAATGAAATATTCAGGACGCAGTTTACTGTTTGGGGACTCAAAACAACTCTTGAGCCTTAAAAACCAAACATTGTGTGTTTGATTTGTTCTTATATAAGGTCATTCCATGCAAGGGTGAAACCAAGATGTGAAATGGGTGAGGCTCTGGAATGCATGTGGACAGTTTCTCTTCTTATTTGGGGTGAGGAATTTGGGATTTTTTCCCCCTTAATTAGTTATGCTTGCTATTTTAATTTATTTTATTATTTTAAGGGCCTATACAATAGGGCTTGTTGTTCCTGCATCAAAAAGACAGGAAACGGTGATGTTTGGTGATTATGCTCACTGAAGTCTATGGGAGTAAGCTCCCGCCCCCAGATGGAGGGCTAATTGTCACTCTAGGGTCTCAAGTTGCCCACCTTTGACTTACGCAAAGGCATCCATTACCCAGAGTTGTGAGCAAAGCAGCAGAGAAATATATACACAACAGCCATTTACGAGGACACCTAAGTTTAAAATAGAATACATTAGTCATGTTGACAAATCCCCAAATCCCAGTGATTTTGGGACTAGATGGAATTAAACTGGTGCCTTTTCTGCTTGATAGGAATAATTTGGTTTCGTTTGATTTAAGGAATGCTAAGATCTAGTCCAGCTTAGTCTGGAATTTAAAATCTTCTATGATTCCTTCTTCCCACACAATCCTTCCTAATCCTCTAATGCCAACATGTACAATTCATCTTTTCCTTTTCTACCCCCTGGAGGCTTCTGCTACATTATTCTTCACTCCAGCCGGAATCAGTATGAATGTGCCAAATACACTATATTGTGCCATTTATTTTAAATGTCATTGAAACTGCTTAATTTTCACATTTTTGTTTTAAAAATTGAGCTTGTGCTAAATACGTCAACCATACTTTTCTCCCTTATGGACCACACATATGCACCAGTGATTGTGCCTATTAAACTAATAGGTATGCATTTCTTAATGCAAGTAGGGCAGATCCACAAGTGAAATTATTCTTGGATGAAATCATCAGTTCAGCTTAGAGTGATCCACAGAGCCCTGGCTCATGAAGCAACCACTTTAAGCAGCAGTTCTGTTTCAGAAATAGATCTGAACTTGATTTCTGTGAGACACCTGGTGTTGCTAGGCATAATTATAGAACAGGGATTTATTTTGTTTTATCATTCTCTGCACTGATACTAGGCTGGAGATATAAAGCAATTTGCACAGTTATCCCATTAGCTCATCATACAAACTTGGAAGAGCTTGATCTCTTCCTCCCCTCCATCCCCCCATCAAAGTATATAAAGAGAAGGAAATTACTCTCTTCTTATTTTATATAACAAATATGAGGAATGTGCACCTCTGTAAAATTCCCCTCTCCTTTATTGCTTTAGTGAGTTTGTATTAGGATCTGGCTCTCAGACAGGTTTAGGGAGTTGCATTTAATTTACGATTTTACAAGGGTTATTTTTGCTACTGGTACAAGACTTTTGTTCAACAGCAACACTTCCTTGACTGCCCAAATACCCTGCAACTTTGTGGGATGAATTGGGGAGTCCAGAAAGCATTGCTGAAGGAGACCCACACTGTTTACATTTTTTAAAAGATGCCTGAATATTCCTCAGTCAGCTTGTAAGCATCATAAAATAAATGCACCATCTCCCAATACTTTTCTTGCCCCAATTTTTTTGGAGATGATATCCATTCAGAGTTGTCTTGATTATAGTAATTGTTCCACTGAGAGGTCTAGTAGGAGCAGAAATGTGAGATTTAACAGCAGAACATGTTTACATTCCTAGCCAGATCCCACTGTTTTGTCTGTTTAGCATAGCAGCATCCTATACTAATGTGTGTGCATGTATGTGTAGATGTCTAAGCATAACAGTATTTTATCTGGTAAAAATTCCAAAATTTATCTATGGTTTTTAAGTGGAAAATATTTTTCCATGTCTGGAAAATCCTGCTGCATGCAATATCCTTACTGATGGGAGCAATAGTAATACCAGTGTTTGAAAAAGAGTCAGTGATCTAACATAAAGAATGTGATCATTTCTGCCAAATATGTTTTATTTAATCTTTTAAACCATTCTCCAAAGGAAGAAGTGCTCTAAATCCACCTAGCACCCAAGGTGGTAACAAGACAACAATAATTACATTTAATCCCCCATGTCCAGCCACTTTTTAAGGGACCAGAACAGCAAACCTTTGCATTGCTTACTTACCTAGAAGCAACTCTCACTAAACACGGTGCTACTTTGAGTAAACATGCAAACAACTTATGCTAATAGGCATAAAACTGAATCTATAAATGTGTCAAAGAGTTGATACTTTCTTTTGGTTCCATTTTATTCACAAATGAAACGAAGGATTGCTTTGATAGAGGTTTGCATGGGAATGGCGGTAAATAACAAAAGCCATGCCATGATATCCCAGTGCAAAGTCGGCCCTTTTGTATGTGCGTTGTAGCATTGCACGCATATAAAAAATGGGTGAAGCTCACATTGCAATGGCGTGATGCTGCTTTTGTCACTTCAATGAGAGCATTGGATTCTGCAGATGCTTCTAGTTTGAAATAGTTTAAATAAGCATTTTTCTTTTCTGGTGCTGAAGACATCTCTAGGTTTTATGCCATGAGTATATGAAAGAGAGGGAAGAAAGTCTGGGTAATTACATCTGACTCACTCATATATCATTCTAAAATGCATTGCCCATGCTTTTATAGTCCCCTAATACACAAATACAAATGCTCACTTCCATGTTTGTTCCTATAATGCTAAAATAATGCATTCTGTAATGCAATTATTGTATTAAAAGGCATATATTAAAGATGACTGCATACAAAAGGCATATATTAGAGGAAGCTGAATGTAAAACTGCCTATGGTAGAGAAACTTGCATACAAAATTGTGTAAACTAAAGTATTTATCAAAATAGTATATTTTAATTTTAATGTTGAGGAAATTTGACAGGAAGCACTTAAGAATAAGTTTATGCAAAACTGAAACAAACCAGATTCAGATAGATCATGCATAATACTGTATATATTGTATACTGCATTACATTATATTATTTTGTTCTTTCTATTCATATGCAGAGCTCCTATTACTAGTCAGTCAATTAACTGAAACTTACTTTAAGGTCAGAAACATCCCGGTAACATTGTTCAGAGCGGGTATGGTCTGACAATTGCACATTCCAGAAACAGGGAAGCTGATAGACAAGAAAGGGATTCTGTTTGATGACTGCATTGAAAATATCCTAGAAAGACAAAAAGACAAACAACATTTTCACCTTGCAGAAAAGCAATTTCATATTGCAAACTGCCTTTAGCCCTTTAGTATTATAATAAAAATATGGATAAAACACTGCCTAAGTATAAGAGCTGAAAGTCAAGGTTCAGGGTTTTAGCTTTGAAAGAAAGTATTGTCAGTCAGACCCTGTATTTGTGAGTGTAACCTGGAGCTTTGTTGCTGCTTCACTTTTGACAATTGGGTTCTCAAGAAAGACTGTACAGGTAGTCTTCACTTATGACCATTCGTTTAGCGACTGTTCCAAGTTATGAAAGCGCTGAAAAAAACGACTTAAGACCAGTCCTTGCACTTACAACTGTCGCAACATCCCTGTGAGCATGTGATCATGATTTGGGTGCTTGGCAACTATTGTGCATTTACGATAGTTGAAGTGTCCGGTGGTCATGTGATCACCATTTGTGACCTTCCCAGACTACTTCCAACAAGCAAAGTCAATGAGGAAGCCAGCAGGGAATGTCGCAAGTCATGGTCATGTGATGTCTCGCTTAACGACCATGGCAAAAAAGGTTGTAAAATTGGGTGCAGTCATACAATGCCTCACTTAACAACTGCACTGCTTAACGATGAATTTTCCGATCCCTATTGTTGTAAGTAAAGGTCTACCTGTAACTATAAAACAACACAGCACACTCCTTTCCTTGTCACTGTTGTTAAAATATGCCCATGTACAGAATGTCACCATCAAATTTGAACACTGTATCTTCATAATCAAAGATAAAAAAACAACATATTGTAGCAACATTTTAAATAAGCATCAAATTGTAAACTAAGGACCAACTAACAAACCATAATTAAAAATTAATCTAGACTTAATTGAATTAACAACTTAAAAACAAGAAGAGCTTTAGGATATTAATTTTTTTTAAAGGCAAACAGATATTTGGATTTTAATTTGGATTTTAATTTGGAGATAAAAGGATATATCCTAATCCCTACCTTATTTCCCTAGAGAGAGCATTCCAATGTTGCAATGCTACCACAGAGAAAATACTTGTTTTTAAAGTTTAATAATATACTTCTAACAAAAGAATGTGGATAAGGGTATCTCTGATTATTAATTCATGTTAGGAATATTATTTCTTTAGACACTGGGTTTCTACATTGTTTGACTAATTACATGCCATCAAGTTTGTGTTGACTCTTAGCAACCACATAGATTTTCTCCAGCATGATCTGTCCCTATCCTGGATCCTTCAAGTCTTCCAATGGTATACCTGTCACCATTGTAATTGAGTCTGTCAGTCCTTTGAAGTAGACCAGGTTGGAAAACAGACGCCACAAACACTAGAAATACTAGAATTTTATTGATATAGGCTATAATAAGAGAAAATCTGAGAGAGCTTCCTTTTCCCTCCTTTTTATACCAAACACAATCAAAACTGGCCAATCTTGAGTTTTCTTGAGGAAAACACTACTTTCTTGGGCTAAGTTCACATTTCTTCAGGGCCATCTCTGTATTCCTCTACATATACACCTCTTTCTTTCCCACTTTTCCCAGCATTATAGACTTCTCAAGACAGCTAGATGTTTGCATAATGTGTCAAAAATATGATCATTGAGCTGGGTCATTTGTGCCTCAAGTGGACCTTTAAAAGTGATCACCAACCCTTTGAGTTAGGCTTAAAAAGAAACCTGAAACCAATGCCATTCTTTCAGAATTATACTGAAGGAATATAATGACCCTATTTTACGCATTGCTTAGGATCAAAGCAGCAGAGTTCTGAACTAGCTGAAGCTTCTGAGCTATTGTGAAATGTAGCTTTGTGCATAACATCTAACAGTAATCCAATATACTACCAGGGGTATCTCTTTAACTCAGAGTGAGAAGAAAGGTGATAAATTTGAAAGAAATGATAGAAATTCTGGATCTTTATCACTTGTTTTATTGATGATGATGATGATGATGATGATGAATAGGAAGGCAAATCCAGAGAACACTGCAGAAAAGTCACACTTTTAAAGGTAAAAACAAAATTTGGTCAGATAAAACATCTACAGATACTTAGCTGTGTATCATCCTGGAAATGCAATGTGTGATTATATATTGTCATGGCTAATACTTAATCCAAAATGCTTCAATCACTCCTGCCCTCAGTTCAGAATGGGTATTGATTATGAGATTATACCTTTTCTCACCAGACAGTTAAATTGAATTCCATATATAACACTCATATTTAAACCAAGGCTGCCTCACTTGAAACTTTCTTAAAAGGATCTCAGCATTTATTGGAAAAGCATTATCTTTTTGTCTGTCTGCCTACCTCCTCACCAACCTATCATTTAGCATTATATGTAGAGCACTAGGTAGGAAAGTATGATTGATCCTAACCCATTATATTGTAGAAGTAATGAAACAGTGCCTACATATATCACTGCTCACATTCTTTTTCCCTAGAAAGAGAAAGGAAATCTAGAAGAAGCCATTTCTTTATCCGGTAATATTGGACAACTATTGTCCAGTCTCTAGCCTTCCCTGTTTGGGAAAGATTTGGGAGATGATTATGGAATCACTTACAGAGGCTCTGGATAAAGCAGATTATCTTGAAACTTTTCAGCTGGGCTTTAGACCTGGTTGTGCGATGGAAACTGGTCACTCTGTGGATGACTTTTGCTGGGACATGAGTGGAAGGACTACTGCTTTCCTAGGTCCTTTAAACACTGAGCAGTTAGGAAATAATCAATCATGGCATCCTTCTGGATTATCGGTGAGGGCTGGGACCGTTTTGTAATGGTTTCACTCATTCCTATGTGGATAGTTCTACTTGGTGACAACCGATCTAGACTTTGACTGCCCCTGATGTGGGTGCCACAGGGCTTGGTTCTCTCACTCATGCTATTTAATAGTTACATTAAACTTTTGGAAGAGGTCATCAGTTCAGGGCAAGATATCACCAATATACTGATGATACCCACCTGTATATTTCCACTTAGCTGAGCAGAAGGTGCAGTGGATGTTCTTAACCAGTGTTGGAAGCTGGGGACTGGATGGGACAAAAGTAGATCAATCTGAATCTTATTAAGATGGAATTGCAGTCTATTCAGAAATCATCTGGCTCATTGTGAACTCATAATTTGGCTCTGGATGGAGCTGCAGTCCCACTGAAGGAGCAGTTTCACAATCTTTGGTTCTCTTTGATTCATGGCTTCTACTTGAGGCTATGGCCCAGAGAGCCTTTGCAAGTTGCATCAGGCCCATCATTTTTGGGCCTGGGAGGCTCTGACAAGAAAACTCATATTGTTGCCATATTCAATAAAACAGGGGAGATTTTAGTGACATTTAGTTCTGATGTCTGATACTTTGGAAGATATCAGTCAATTAGACTTGATACTGTTCACAAATGGGAAAGGTGAATGTAAATTTGTTTCAGAAGTTGTAGCATCATCTTTTCAGGTAAAATAAAAATACATAAAATAAAAAAAAGCCAAACATTGAAAGCCAAACTAAAGCTGTACATATGAAACTCCAGAGTAGTCACAGTGGCCTTCCACAGACTGTTCAGAAAGAAATCATTCTGGAATAGCAGCTAAACTTAGCAGGAGTTTTGAAACACATTTTGGTAGATTTTGTATCAGAACATTAATTGCTCCACGTCTATGTCCCTTCTGAAAAAGTGGAATTTTCTCTAACTCCTAGGTGTGCTCTGAGGATAATATCCTTAATGTCTGTGAGGTAGAGGATGGAAGAGAGAATGGTGATTGTGAAAGCTGGAATCAGACAAAATCATGAACTGAGAACAACAAAAATAATATAGAAGGAAATGGTATTTTAAAGCTTCTTCAAAGTCTGTAGCTTTTTGTTTCAAAGAAGGGGGGCTCCTGAAGGGGAGCGGAAAATAGGTTTAAAAAAGAAAAAAAGCTAGATCAAGCCAAAGACTTCTCTAATCTTGTCCACCTTACCTTTCAAATAAAGATTGACCACAATTTTATCTGACTGATTCAAAATTATTTTGTTCATGAGTTGTTTCAATAGCACAGTGACCAACAGAGAAAATAGCATACAAATAATTTAAACAGTTAAATCATTCTTAACATGTAAAATTCTTATCCTAAAAAGGTTTCACCCTTAATACCTACAATTTGACAAAAGCATGCTTCTTGAAAGCTACTTCCAATACTTCACCCTTAGTTCAAACAATAAACCTAGTTTGCTTATTTAACCTTTATCAGCACTCTGATTATTTTGGGAAAGTTGGGTTTGTTGTTCTCATACCTGCATGCATCCATTTTTAGGAAAATCCCTGCAGTGAAACATCAACATTGACTGGGAAAGTTGTGTAATGTAAATGGTATGTCTCTCCTTCCATTCCCTACTTTTAGGAGCAATCTTGATGTCACTACCTGGGCATTACACACTCACCTGGTCAGCCAATGAGGTGGAGAGCATGCTCATTAGCTCTCTTTCAGCTGTGAGTCTCCACATCTGCTCCCATTTCATCTTGCGCAATTTATCCAGAAGTAACAGAATAACCCCTGGAATCAATAAGCAATGCAAAGAAAAAGGCGAGCTGCAGTGAAAATGGCAAAAAGCAAGGCCTTCATGCTTCAGCATGGTTGTATCAGGATTAAAACAAAAGCTTTATTAACTGTAAACTATGAGCAGTTTCATCATGCTGAGGACAAGGGGGGAAAAAGTTAGCCTAAGAAACCTCACAAATTATATGCATTCCTTAATAAATAATTGGATCCCTTTGTGCCAATCTATCTGTCAAATAAAACAAATAGTTTGCAATTATGTGTGTGTCTGAGGGTTTTAAATGGCAGAAGTATGTGTGTGACAGAAAGCAAATAGGGTGCTTTCAGATGGAGAGTTCCAAGCACTAGCAATCAAATGGCATTGTGGAGGAAGTCGATCTCTTCCACTTAATTGATCTTTTCCTGGTTAAAAAAAGAAATAGGAGAAAAATGCAGGCAGTTTACAAATGGAAGGCTCATCTTGAAACACCCAGCATTATCAGAAGGAAAAAAAAAAAAAACAGTTTAGCCATTCCATCAAGAACCTGCACCAAAATCCTTGTTTAGTCAGGGTGGGGTTCTGCTTTTGTTCTGAATTAGCATGCTAAGTGAACCAGATCCCTGTGGTTTGTAAATCCTGATTCATGGTGGCATGGGCAAAGTTAGAGGGAACAGGGGTCAAACTTACCTTCTGGCCTTCCAGAGGGCTGCAAGAGGCCTTTCAGTGATACGGTAACATTGCCAAGTTTTCAGTCCTATTTTGTGTTGTGTTTTTTTTAAAAGAGTAGCAATATGTAAATTGCTCTCATCTCCACACTTAAACTCTTGAAAGCCAAAAAAACCTCCAAGTAAGTTTTCCAGACTTTGGTTGCTTGTTTTAAAGTGGGAATGATGTGGCATAGATCATGCTAAATTGTGGCTTGTTTAACCATAGTTTGTGGCCTAAGTGACACTTGCTTGGGATCCTGCTATACTTCTGATTTATAAAAAAATGTGTAAAAGAGGCTGCAATTTGCCATAGAGAGAAGCAGGTGTTAAGAAGCCCATTTTATCTGTCTTTCCTTTTATTTATGTTGGACAAAGCTTTTGAGAAAGATGTATTTTTCCTATGTCCCTATATAAAGTGAATAAAGGGACCAATATAAACACCAGAGTAAGTTATATTGGATAAGGTTTTAATGGTAATACAGAAATCTATATGTAAATTAATTATATTGAATACAGTATTCATTATCATGAGTACAATGCTTGTTATAGTCACTTTTCTCTCCATCTGGACTACCTATTCTATACATGGCTGATTAATCATCAAAGATTAGTAGATCAAAGGAATTTAATACAAACATGTCTTCACTGAAATTTTAAAGGTAAAGTCTTACAAGACTGACATAACAGGATGTATTCACCAATAATATATCCATGTTTATATTGGGTTTGCTGCTGAGCATATGCAGAAGATATGGGAAACCCCTGAAGACCTTATTCTGAATCATCACTATGATGCTTTGAGTAGTGAGTTTGAAGAAGCACTTTGGTGACTTCATGAAATGCCCCTCTGAATGCTAGTGCTGTACAGCACTAATATCTACTGGCTAAGTATACCTAGATGACTTTGGCTGAGGTTTTAAACTCTTAATAAGTATGGCAGAAATGTTCAGAAAGAACAGCCCTTCCCCAACAATCAAATTAGGAAGAAAGTTATCTTTTGCTTCTGAGAACTGAGAACTCCTGTTGCTGACAGAAAAATACCCTATTTATTGGCATATAACACGCACAGGCGTATAACACGCACCC